GGGTTGCGATCCGTTGCCGGACACGAAAAAAGACAAAAAGGAAAAAAAAAAAAAAAAGTTCCTGGGAGGATTCTTATTATCTTTTAATTTTATTGTTACATAAACTTTCCATGTATTAATGCATCTCTTATGATTGTGGTGGTCAAACAAGGTTGAAGTCTTCTGCTCTCAAAACACCACACACTGAGCACTGAGGTGGTATGGAGCCAAACTAATAGAGAAGGGAGGACACAGTAAAGGGATGAAATGTGTCCTCCCTACCTGAACTGTGCCCTCTCCCCATCTGTGGTACCAGAATTCCTGGACAGTGTGGCTGCCATCTATCAGGACCTGCTGTCAGGCAAGAACCCCAATACAGTGATTGTGCCAACATCGTCCAGTGGGCAACACCGCCATCGACCTGCCCTGGGTGAGACTAGCATGCTGGAGGGAGTGGAGGCGTCACTGTTTTACCAGTGCCTGGAAAACCTGTGTGACCGGCACAAATACAGGTAAGAAATGGGCACAAAGACCCCACCTCAGCCCCAGGGATCATAGACTGCTGGCTTTGGAACAGCAATCTAACAGGGTGTTCTGATTGACCCAGGGCTTCTAGGGCTCTTGATGGTCATAATAGAAGTTAGAACAGTGCTATTTGCCCCCAAACCAGGTTGTTGATGAAAGGCTTCCTAATTGGCTTACTTAGAAATAATTGCTTTCACTTGGGCAAGACCAACAGTAGATGACCAGCTTACCAGGAGATAGATTGGCCTTGACTTTTTAGAGAGTAGGAAAGAGCATTCACTGTACAAAACTTTCCTACATAAAAGGAGGGTTAAGGGGCCGGTCTGTGGCTCACTCGGGAGAGTGTGGTTCTGATAATGAGAGTAGGAAAGAGCATTCACTGTACAAAACTTTCCTACATAAAAGGAGGGTTAAGGGGCCAGTCTGTGGCTCACTCGGGAGAGTGTGGTTCTGATAATGCCAAGGCCACAGGTTCGGATCCCATATAGGGATGGCTGGTTAGCTCACTGGGTGAGCGTGGTGCTGACAACACCAAGTCAAGGGTTAAGATTGTCTTACCAGTTTTGGTCTCCTCCAAAAAGAGGCTGTCTCTTGTAACCGTGTCCTCCTCCCTTCCCTCCTCCCTTCCCTCCTACTCCACCCTGGTGAAGCACCAGTTAGTGAACATGTCAGCCCTTCTTGTCTACAGTCAAGGCCTGGTTCCTGGAGATCTGTCAGTTATGCTGCCCTGGGACCTTAGGGCTCCCAAGCAGGTCCCTCGGTCTTGGCTCTGGGTATTCTTGTAAGCCTAAAGGTATGGATGATGAGATGGCAGTCAGACATGCTAGTCTTCGAATCTGGCATCTGTATTCTCCCTTCTAGCTGCCCACCCCCAGCACTTGTCAAAGAGGTCCTAAGCAACGTTCAGAGACTGACCTTCTATGGATTCCTTGTGGCTCTCTCAAAGCATCATGGAATCAACCAAGCTCTAGGTAAGCCAGAGCTAACTATGGCCAGCCTCTCCTGTCCCCACAATACAGGTAGCAGCTGTCCTGTACTGGTCGACGATGGCCCCATGGGGGAGGGAGGTATCACCATCTCTGCCTTGACTTCTCAGGGCCAGACTCTGAGTCCTAAGGAGCTGGAATGTGCACAACACAAAACTGTGCCTTCTTAGGCCTTCATAGTCCTCTGGTAAGGGACAGGCTTCCCCATCCTGGGCCCTGCCCCAACATGAAGTGGCCTCTCTGCAGCAGAGGGGTGCCCAGCCCGTCCCCAAACATCCTCAGTTCTGCTCTGGGGAGTGGCCTACAAGTTGGGCAGACACGGGGCTGTTTACTCAGTGGCTCTGAGGATTATATATCAAAGAGACCTAAATTCCACTTATAAACAGTGCAAAGGTGTGCCTGGGGAGGCCTTTTTTTCCCAGCTGGAAGAAAAAAAAATCTGAATTATCTGAAAGAGAGAAAAAAAAAAGTGAGGGAAGCCTGCGCTGGTCCAGTTTTTCCTGCCTTTTGTTTTATTCTCACTGGTTGGGCTTCTCCACCCACCCCATTCTTCCCCCTCCCACATCCACTGCTCTCCTAGGGGAAGAGCCAGCAAGCGACCATAACACTGGAGTTTAAGGGGTTCTTATTTCAGTCTGTCCTAAAGAGATCCTACCATCATGCTTGGAATCCCAGGTTCCTGAGTCCCAAAGAAGAGATACACAGCATTCCCCTTCCTTTTGCCAGTTGATGGAATGGGGGTCTAGGGAAGGAAAGTTAACATCCGTTAAATGCCAACCACAGTAAGCCAGTGCAGTGCTGGATGTTTTGTATTTATTACCTTACGCCAAATAGAGCCTCCTGGGGGATACTAGGGGCTACACAGGAGGGAAAACCCCGCAGGACCGAACGAGGACACACTCAGGCACATATGCCGCCTGGTAGCCTGCTTATTCTGAGGGCTTGGGGCATGCACAGGTGTGGGGACCTCTCAACTAAGTGAGGTTGGTAGCCAGGGTCACCAGCTGGACCAGGACTAGAAAGGAGGCAAAATAGGAGTCAGAAATCAAGAGTGAGGAGGAGGCGGGTAGGGATTTGCTTAGGTGTTCTTTCACACTCCTAGGTAACTGGCCACACTCTCTTCCTTCCCACCGACCACAGCCATTAGGAAGGAAAAGGAAAAGCTAGCTAACAACTGGGCCACAGCCTTGATGAACCTCATCTCCTCATTTTTCTAAGAGCCTTTAAAAAGGACACTCGTTCACTCAACTTTACTGAGCACTAATGTTGGGTGGAGTGGGGAGACAGAAAGAAGCAGATCGTCTCTGCCCTCACCTACATCTCCGGTGTAGGAGACAGAAATCTGGAGATACCCTAGTAGGAGACAGTCGTGGAGACCAGTAGCTCTGTTCCCTTATTCCCCAAGGCACCCCTGAAAAATTAGAGGGTTCCATGGAACATAGTTTAAAAACCACTAACTTAGAGCAAAAGGGGCCAGAAGGCATCATCTGAAAAAGAAGTAGAAAAGTCGGAAATTGAACAGTGCCATACGGGTAATTTTGAGTCCTTCTAGAACAGCATCGTTGACTGCCAAGTCTAAGTTCTAAACCACCAATAAGCTCTTTCCCCTTAATAGTTTGCTGGTGAGTTATCTTCCTATCTGCAAACTTCTGCTTCACCTTCCTTCCCACTGTTAAGAGCTCCTGGGAACATCCAAGACTCACCTCTCACCTTTCCCCTTATATCGAAGATTAACTCCTCTTAGTTTATAGCTAAGGAAACCGACTTCAGAGATGGGACAGCTCCCATTCTGGCTGAGTTTGGTCTGATTTTGACCCAGCCTTCTCTTATCACCCCTGGGACCTTCCCTGGTGGAGCAGAAGCATTTCTTACCATCGGTCTCCAAAGTGGGTCACCCTGATTTGGGGGCATAAAATTGGGTAATTTTTGACCTTTGGGTTTAGTCTGGTCATATCCTTTTCAGACCAGTACCTGGGCCTCAAGGAAAAACTCAATTCACAGCACCGGCTCACAACCCATTTAGTCTTGGAAGGGAACTACCCTGTTTGTTTGGGGATGTCTCCTTACCTATGGTCCCTGTCCCAAGTGGGCCAGGGTAGGCAGCAGGATTCACTAAATTTGTCAAGTGGCACCCAAGACTTCCTGCTCTGTGACTATTTTTTGACCCCTTCAGCAGTCCTCAAATCTTTCAGATCAGCCCTCCCAGGCTTAGCAGAACAGGCAGACATGAAGTGAGGGGCATGGAGGCACTCGCTGCCTGGCCGAAGGACTGTGAGATTAAGTGCTGTGCCTCCCAATTATCTCCTAGGAGCTTTGCCTGACAAAGGGGACCTGATGCATGACCCAGCCATGGATGAAGAGCTGGAACGGCTGTAAGTGTCAAGTGGGAAGATGCTGCCCTCTTGTGGGGGCCAAACCTCAGCCAGACACGGCTGTGCCCCATCATGGGTCACACAGCACTTGTAACAAACACCCTCCATTGGTCAGGGAAGGGTTTGGGGGCCAGCAGAGACCTAAGGTATCCTCTCTTTTGAGTCCTTTGGGGCTACAGCCCTTGGGTTCATCCAAGTGCAAAAGCAAGTGTGGAGGTCCTGGTCTCTGGACAGGAGGCACCTTGCTGCCCTCTGGGCTTCTTCCTTCCTTCAGGCTGGCCCAGGTCCCAGGATTGTTCAACTCGGTCACTGCCAGTTCAGAGGCCAGCTGCCCGCCCTCCCGGACCCCTCTACGGGTTGGTTCCCCCTGGAGACCTCTCCATCACTCCCGCAAAATGGATGCAGAGAGTGATGGCTCCACTGAAGAGACAGACGAGTCTGAGACTTGAGGAGTCTGAAGGCTCCTGCCTACAGCGTCCTGTACCTTGCTCCCACCTCAGCCCTTGGTACTCCCACCCAATCTACTCTTCAGCACCTTGCCATGCTGCCCTCTGCTGGTGAAAAGGCTGAAAAACAGCCCCACCCCCAGAGACTTGCCAGAGGGGTTCTGATGATCAGCCAAGCCTAAGCAGTGACCCTAGACAAGTTAACAGCCTACTCTCCCTGGCCCTGCCAGCCTTTGGGCTTTAGTCAGGCTTCAAGCTGACAGTACTGAAGCCACCTCATCGAGAAGGGGACTGGCCTTAGCCTTTTGTTGACAGTTCTCCTAACCTCTTTAGGAAGAGCAGTCTCTTCTCAGCCAACCTCTGCTAGTCCCCCAATAAGGTTCATCTCCTCACAGCAACTCCATTAAGGGGTTGAACAGCATTAGCTATCCAGGGTCTTGCATGGTCAAGGTGACACCTGAGATGCAAGTACTGGGAGGACATAACCACTGTGGCCTTCTGCTGGAGGAACAGCCACTAGCCATGATAGAATGGAGAAGTGTGGGCAAGAAGACAATTTCACTTTCAAAAACTGTTCCAAGTATCCTCTGTGTCTGAAATGAATAAAGTCCCTGTGTCTGGCAAGTGGTGAGTTTAAAGCCACTAAGGCTGAGAGGGTGAAGGGGGTGAATTTGGGTTTTAGTGCTTTTCTGGCAAGACTGGGAGGTGGGGGGCTGGTGAACCATTCAAGCCCAGAGACACCTTAGAAAATGAACAGAGGGGCTTACCTCCTGCACGACAGCAGCCTTTCAAAGACAAGGTGCTCACAACTAGAACAGGCCTTCAAGAAATAAGCTCAGAGGGTTCAAGGCCAGGTTCCCATAACTTTAAAGACCCTGGTGAGGATAGCTGGTTAGCTCACTTGGTTAAAGCACAGCCATCGAACACCAAGGTCATGGGTTCAGATCCCTATACCAGCCAGCCACCAAAAAGAAAAAAAAAAAAAAAAGCCTTAGAGATGATATGGTGATTACAAAAAAGAAGGACCCTGGCCACAAAGGATTAGCACTGCATAGCCTTCTAGCCAGGGTATTATTAAACATTTGCCAAGCACCTGCTTGGGGTCAGGTCAGTGTAGGTACAGCTGTGAACATGACACAGGCCTGAGGTGTACAAGCTTCCAGCCCCAGCCAAACTGGAGGAAGGATGAGTGGTCTTCAATTTCCTTGAATTGGGTGGGGAGGTGGGGTCCTCCAGAAAGTAAAACCCACTCAGCGGCCCAAGCAAAATAGGCTGCCTCCTCTGAAGCCGGATGTCACCACTACTGGGTACACATTTTCCTGGGCTCGTCTCTACCCAGACCAGCCCCACTGGATAAGTACAGGAACCGGCTCCCAAACCCCTGCCATGGCTCCAGACCCACAATCATTTCCAGCCTCCTGCCCATAAAAAGTGTTTCTCAAATCCTGGTGTGCATCAGAATCACAGAGAAGCTTGATGACAATGCAAATTACCAAACTCCACAGAGTGACTCTTAACAGCAGGGGATGGGGCCCAGAAATCTGTATATTTTTATTAACACTCCAGATGATCCAAGAGGCCCAGATCTACACTTTGGAAATAACTGGCTTAGAGCCCCACAGCCCATCTACCCAACCTTTCTCATCATCTACCTCCCAGACCAGTGGTTTACACCTGTACCCTGAGGACTCCTGAGGTGGCACAGATGTTCCAAAAGCCCTAATAAGGAAAAGAGACACAAACACATCCTTTCTTGCTGAATTTAAAAGAGTTCCATTAAAGTCTGATTATTTAAAACATTTTTTTTAAAACTCCAAAAAGTGTGTCCCCAGTCAAGCCTACTGTTGTGTGATGAGGTGCAGGGCTGCTGAGGTTGCCTGCCTGCCCTCAGCCCTATGGCTCAGTGGATGAGTAAAAAGGGCCAACTAATACCAGCTCTTTCCATCGCGTGCAACAGGGTGGTGAGGTCGAGGCTGCACCGGACCTTGCGGCAGCACAGGGCCGAGAAGCCAGGGGCCTTTGGCTTTCAGAGAAGAGACAAATCGGAGGCCCTGGAGACATTGTCCTCAGCTTTGGGACCAACGCCCTACCCGTATCGGTGGGAGCCACGAGAGTGAGGCGAGGGGCTACACTGGGCAGGGAGGCAGGATCCAGAGAGGACACTACTGCACTCAGAACAGGGCCTCAGGGCCCTGTGGGGGCTTTATTTTGACACCACTTTGTTTCAATACAAACAGTCCAGAAAGAGAGTCATGTCCCTCTGGGGGAGGGATGGGGGAAAGAGTGGTCTGTGTTGCTTGGGAGCCCAACCTACAACCTGAAGGTGGGGGTTGGGCCCAGACTGCCAGCATGGCAGGGGAAGATGGCACCAAGAATGACACAGTGCATGGCCCAGCTACCAGAGGGTGAGGCCTGCAGCTCTGTAGGCCCCTCAAGCTCTCACCGGTGGGGTGTTGTCCAGGCCCCCCTAAGACCAAGATGACACAGAAGAAAGTTGAACCCCAGAACCTGCTTCTGTCCCTCAGGTCCTGTTTCCTTGGCCAGTGTTACACTCAGGGCATCCAAAGTCAGGACACAGGGATCCACCATAGCTACCAATCAAGGGAAGAAGGGACAGAGAATCTTAGGAGAAGACAGAGGGTCCTGTGGTCCACAGTAGATGGTATGGAAGGACTCTGAGACACCTAGAAGTAATCCTCCAGGTAATTACTGTAAAAATGGGTGGTGAGACATCACTTGGGCCTCCAATCTGATCCCAAATGAAACCTTTAGGTACCAAGAAAGTTTCTAGCCCTTAGTAAGGCCCAGATGAAGGTCCTTCCCCTTCCTCGCCTTCTCCTGGCACCCAGGAGAGGCCAGTGGCAGCAGCAACGGCAGCAGCAAGTCCACAGTCTCTCTCCCCTGGCAGCTGGTTACAGCAGAACCCTTTCTAGGCCTCCTCCTGGTTCTACAGGACTAAGGCCCAGACCCCAGACTACCTAGAAGGATTCTAGAGCCAGAAAAAAAAGCCTTATGCTTTTCACTTGCCCCACTTGGGGAAGGGTTAGACCCAGAATAAGCCATTCTGAGGGAACTTCCTCCCTTTACTCCCAGTGTGGCAGGACAAGTGAGCAGCAGCTTTGGGGGCAGGCTTAGAAGGACAATAGTCTAGCACACAGAGGAGGGGGTGGGGGGGCGAAGAGAATAAAGGGCTCAGTCCACAGGCAGAGGACAAAGGCTGGTACTTGCCGCTCCCCTCACCCGAGATCCTCAAAGGCCACCCACTCACACACCACATTTATAAAGTAACAAATCTTCCCTGGCTGCCATAAGGCAAGCATGCCTGGCCTAGGAATCATGGGGCTCTTGCTGCTGTCCCCACCATATGCCTCAGCATGGAGCTTGGATCAGTAGGAGCCGTAGCGATCCTGCAGGTGGGAGGAGAAAAAAACAAAGTCAGAGTCTCTAACCTGCAACAGCCTCCCAGCATACACACTGCCTCCCCCACATGTACCCCCAGCAGCAAGATGGCTCCAAGGGGCTAGGTGCCCCCACAAAGTGGGAGTACACAGTGAGAGCTGGGGCAGGGCCACTAAGCAAGGGGAAGCCCTGCCTGATCTCACAGAAGCTGGGGAGGGAGGAGAAAGAGTAGTACAGGCAACAAGAGCGGGGGAGAAGCAGCACAGACAAGGTATCTTATGGAGAGGCTCAGCCCTGGTGCAGAGCTGCAGGGAAGGAAGCTGCCCTCCAAGAAAAGAGCATGCATTCTCTCTTCAAGGCTGAGGGGGGCTGCCCAGAAGCAATGTGTGAATGTGCTGGAGAAGGCAAAAGTCCAAGCACCACTCATTAGGCTCCCTCCCCAGGCCAAGCACCCCAAGCCTCACCTGCAAAGAATTCATCACACCATTGGCCAGTACAGCCATTTTCCCAGCCACAGACTTGACACCCTGCTTAAACTGAGCAATGTCAGCCGTAGGGAGCACATTCCCCAGAGATACGCTTCCTGGAAAAGCAAGGGAAGGGGTGACCCAGAGCCTGGCAGGAAGCCCTTCCCAGTCAACAGGGCCCCTCAGCCCTGCTCACAGGCCTCGCATGGTGCCCACAACCCCATTGCAGCCCTACCTGCTCCGTGAGCTCCATCCATGTCTCCAAAGAGGTCTGAAGAGCTGATGGCACTGCTGCCTGAGAGCTGCTGTAACCGAGACCTGGCTTCATACTGCGGTGACGAAAAGGCAAAGCCTGGGGATCTTTTGGCTGATGACCCTAGAACTCATACAGGCCAAGCCACCCTGGTGCTAAAGCCCAAGTAATGGCAGGGAGGAAGCTCTTGCTTCCATCTGCTGCCTCCAGCCTCAGGGCAGACAACTCCACTTACCTCAGCATCCACTTCCCGCCCAAAGAACATGTCAGATGAGATGGCTTTGGCTCCTGCAAATTTCAGACGTGCTTCACTGGACTCGAGGCCTGAGCTCCGGCTCTCCGCTTCCCTCCGGTTTGTGGCTCTGAAGGGTAGATATGGAACATCTCGGACCCTGTCCATTACCATTAGGGGAAGCAGAGCAGCAGAGTACAGAGACCAAAAAAAGCACCAATGGCCATCTGCAGATGGCTTAGCAGGCCCCACTCTGTCTGTGGCTCTGGGACTCAGGGACCCTCTCCCCTGGTGAGGGGCCTCCAAAGGGGTGCTATGAGGCCCCTCCCTTCTCCACACTGAAGCCAAGGCACGGCAAACTTACATTACCTACACTGGCAGGGTAGAAATATGGCTTGGAGGGGCCTAGGCTTCTGCCCCAAACCACTACAGCTTCCTCAAGATCCAGGAGGCCATATCACTACTGCTACCCTGCTCCTAGCTATAATTTGCCTAACACTAGTGCAGTCTTATGTTTCAGTTGGCCGAGGTTTAAACCTATACTCTCCTGTCTTATTAATAGCACTTTTACTCTCAAAAGCATCCTGGTGTGAATGAAAAGGTATATGGTCACTCTTGTACACCGCTGATTATGCAGCGACACTGAGCTACTAGCTGTTTTACAAGTTTCATTACATTTATCCTTCCAGCGACCCTGTGAAGTATTTATGTCCCCATTTTACAAATGGATGATTTGCAGATAACTTATCAACTAAACATTGCCCAGATTAAGATAGAATTAGGTTTTAAAAAGATAAATAAGGAGGTTGACTCGTTAGCTGAGTTGCATGGTACTATGAAAAAAAAAAATAATAAGATGGGGGCCAGAGACACAACTCTTGGGAGGAAGATCAGGACTGAAGCACAAAATCAGGCCCTTCCTACCAGAGAAACAAATCCCAAGCTAAATAGGCTGCTGGGCCCTCTGTGATGGTAAAGCACAGCTCAAACCAAAGCCTGATCCCTGCACGTCTAGTGTGGTAGCCACTAGCCACTAGCCACACGTGGCTATTTACATTGATTAAAATTATATTAAATTACATTAGAAATTCAGTTCCTCAGTTGCACTAGCCACATTTTAAGAGCTCAATAGCCACATAGCCAGTGGCTAACATATTAAACTGCACAGATACAGATGATTTCCATCATCACAGAAAGTTCTACTAAACAGTGCTGCCCAACCACTCTACCTTTCTGAAATAGGCCGGATGCTTGAGATGGTCACTTCTGGCTCCTTCTCCTCTACCCTGTCCATACCCCAGGCACCATCTGTATCCCAGCGGGAACCAAAACTTTCCCCCAAGGAAAAGGGGTTGTCCTTGTACCTAGGGAGACAGAAAAGGAGCTCAGAGAAGCCTGATGAGTAACACAGTAACCAAGTCTATGCCCCAACAATAGCCTTACTTTGGGGGTCCAGAGGCGAAAGTACCAACATCGTCAAACAAGTCCAGCTGTGAGCGAGAAGATTTTGCACTCACTGGGGTTTCCTGCTCAATCACCTGCATCTCAGACAGCACCGAGTGGGAGACAGAGCTGTGCAGAAAAGCAGAGCTAGGCATGAGACCGCTGGTGAGCATGAGTGTCAGCACACAAAACAAGACACCCAGCTGCTGGGCTCTCCTTCACCAGGCACCGCCCAGAGCCTTCTCTCCCTGGCCCATGCACAGGGCTGTACCAGACCCCAGCAGGAATGCTGGGAACCATGTGTGGTGACCTGGGAGTACACCCTGTAATTGTCTACACATAACCTTTGTTTTCTCAGGGTAGGGGTTCACTGGCCAGTGACGATTGTCTGTTATAATTTTAATAACGTGCACCAAATGACAGTACTCTCTGTCCTTACCAACAACTCCCAAACTTGCTGCACCATGAATCAGATCCTTCACTGAGACAGATACACACACAAAAAAGAAAAGATGAAAATGCCCCAGAACACCAAGATCAAGGGTTCAGATCCCTGTACTGGCCAGCCATCCCCTCCCCTCTCCCTCCACCCCAAAAGCCCCAGAACCAAAGAAATGAGTCTGATGGCATTAACTACTATCCCATTCGTTTTTTTGTTGTTGTTAAATCAAGAAAACACAGAGCCTGGTCTTATGCACTGAGACCTAGATCTGCCATCTGGTTTCCCAGTGAGGAGGGTCCTAGGGTTGGACAGGCAGTACCAACTCTTGATGCTTCTCTCTCCTCCTCTGTCATGCTCCACAGAGACACTTTAAGAATAATTTGACTTACATAAATTCATTAAAAAATATCTACAGATTTTAGCTAGAACAACCCCAAGGAGTGAATATTTTACCGTAGGGCTTTAAATAGAGCTGGGCTTAAATAAACAATTGTTGCACTGTAAAAATTAGAAAACAGCTGAAAAATTATTCATACCCTTTAACCCAGTACTTCTTATGTGACCAAAACAGGGAAGGGGAAGAGTCCTAAAGACACTTTCGGGGTTAAAATTGTATGTTTTGCTAATTAGCCGTGGGTTATACTAGCAGCACACAGACTAAAAGGGAATAACTTAAATACAACTGGCACATGTTCTGAAAGATTAAGTAAAATACCCAGCCTTGGGCCGGCCCGGTGGCGCACTGCTACAGTGCGCCGCTTGAGAGCGCGGTGGCGCTCCCACCGAGGGTTCGGATCCCACATACAGACCGGTTCCCACTCACTGGCTGAGCGAAGGGCGGGCGCAGCACCGAGGGTTGTGATCCCGTTGCCGGTCCCGGTCCAGT